TTAAACATTGGACCAGGCTGCCCAGGGAAGTGATTGAGTCCCCATCCCTGGAACTATTTAAAAGACATGTAGACGAGGTGCTTAGGGACATGGTTTAGTGGACATGGTGGTGTTGGGTCGACAGTTGGACTCGATGATCTTAGAGGTCTTTTCCAACCTTAATGGTTCTATGATTCTATGAGCCTTTTTAAACTTAAATGCACAGATGCTTTGCAGTATAAAGAACATCCTTTGATCCCACCTGCTGCATTTCCCCCCACCTCCTCTCTCTCCCCAGCATCTTTTCCTTACTCTGCCTTTGCTCTCAGAGCAGCCTCCAGCTAACCAGCAAGGTGAACAGCACGAAGAGCCAAACAGGTAGTCCTGTGCTCCCAAAACTAGACTCTCCAAGGAGGTGAGGGCTCAAAAGCTGAAACCAAGGACTAGTCCTAAAGTGCTGGGCATTTTCTGCCCTAGGCAATTCTGGCTGAAAGCAGGGGCTTTTACCCTACTGTTTGTCTATCATCTTTTGAAAAGCTGCTTGTAGAGCAGCACTGAGGCCATGACCGTGGCATATTAAACAGACCAAAAGTTCAGGTGGTAGCTCTGTTTGCCCATGATGGTGTCATGTGAAGTACTTAAAAATCAGTATGACGGTCCTAATGCTGTACATTAGCTGCCATTTGAAGGGAGGGATGGTTCTTATCTCAGTCTCTGAAGCAAGATGTACCACATACATGAGAGAAGCATCTGGATGGAGTGATGTTGCATAGTCAGGAGGACACCTCTGTATCAAGTATTTGGGTGCACATCTGCCCCAGACAGTGCTAATGGGAGGTGTACCAGCCCCTCCTTCCCCATGTCTGAGAGATGTAGCATCGGCCTGGATGAACCACCAGCTGGTTCTCCAGATGATACATCAGCACTTCTCAGTGGTGGGAGACAGTAAGGTAAATAGCACAGGGCTAGCACCCTCTGCCTCTGTGGTGATGTAAGTGGATACCCAGAAAATCAGGCCCCAGTCACCAGCCACACATGGCTCTTCTGGATAGTCTTCCGGAAGGAAGGAAGGAAGGAAGGAAGGAAGGAAGGAAGGAAGGAAGGAAGGAAGGAAGGAAGGAAGGAAATAGTTTCATTTAGCCCATGGGCACTTACCAGGATATTGGTTTGCTTGTTGCATGTTGACCACATTCCTTCTTTGGTCTTTATAATCTGGTGGTGGTCGTGTCAAGTGTCTGTTCAGCTGATCTTGTGGAGTTATTTTCTCCTAGAGGATTAAAGTAGAAATATATTAATTTGCTTTTCTTTATGCTTTCCTGGCTCTGTGTTTTGCCTGCCTCTTTCTTTTCTCAGCATGTACAAAGCTGAAGCATTCCTTCCTTTCACCCTGTCTGGTCCACAGGAGAGGCATCTGTGAACCTGTGCCATCACCTGCTGAAGTCTGTATGGAAACCTTTCTGCTGGTTGTATTGTGTTTGAGTCTGGCCTAACTTTCCTTAAAACCACTGAGAGTTTCTCAGCCTCTGAGAACATTGGCCACGCCTGCACTGCAGTACAAAGTGTCTTCCGATGTCTGCACTGTCTTGCTCACCATGCTTATCAGACAGAGGGGCCTGATGGTTCTTCATGGCTCTCTCCCTGTCTGTGCAGCTGGGTTTTCTTTCAGAGAAAGCTCAGAGACAGAGCAAACACCCGGTCTGACCCAAACACACAGCCAGGATCACACACAGGAGCAACGAGGGTGCAGACCTGCAAGGTCGACACCTGCCCCTTGGCTGCATCAATGGTCATCACCCCATTTCACCCACACAGCCCTCTCAGCGTGCACAGCTGGCAAAGAGGATTTCAGCTTGTCATGCCCATCCGCAGCCATGCCCATCCCTCACTCTCTCCTTCCTCCTACACTGGAGGAATGTATCAGCAAAACCCTTGCTTTGCCCTCCCCTGTGTCTCTCCTCATCAGGGATGCCAGCAGGACACATGCCCAGGGTTTAGCAATGACAGTGCCGGGCTGGTTGGTTTTCATGCCACTCACCATTGCCCTGTGCTTCCCCATACATATACGTGGTGCTGTCTTTCCTCTTACACTGGGAGTGCAAGCACTGGGGGAAGGACAGTGGGGAAAGATTGCAGAAAAAGCCGATTAGTAGGGGACTTTTTTTTTATTTTGGGCCTGCAGAGACATATCTCTGGTGAAGGGAAGATAGAAATCCAAGTCCTTGAACTGAAATCTGACTAACTGCCCTGTGTTCATAAAGATCTGGAAGGCGCAGGCACCGGAGTCAACGCCAAATCTCTCACCAGCATCAGTGTGACTTGATGCCTCCAGAGTGCTACTGCCCACCCATGAACAACGACTCCTCGGGATATGTGGCCCCACGGCAGGAAAATGTGGGTTTGACCACCTCGGTCACTGGTAAGTCATTGCCAGTGCACACGTGCCTCTGGAAGTCGTGCTTACTGGGCAGCTGGTGGGCAGGCTTCACCCTTCCTCTGCAATGCACCTGGGTTTCGTGCTCAGCTGCCAGAATGGCAAACCGGCTCATCAGTGTGAAAGAGTCAGGCCCTACCTGGTGATGGAAGTCCATCAGAGTAATTTGGGGACCTTCTGCCTGAAAAGATCACGCAAACAGACCTTCTCGTGAAAAATCTGTTTTTTCTTCTGCCAGGAGCAATTAAAACACTGGGAGAAGTGCCTTTCTTGTGGTATTTAGGCATTTCTGTAATGCGCCCTGGGAGTGAGGGGTCTGATTAAGATTTATAAGGCTCATTTTAACATACTGCTCAACCTGAACCCTTGTGAAGAAGAAAGACAAGTTATCTCCCAGGAAATCCCTGCAATACATGTAAAAACTGTAGGCAGGCTTTGTGTGTATTTCTATGTACACGATACAAAAGCAAAGGCAAGCTGATCAAAAAAACACATTCTGTAGAGTGATTTTAATTTCTATTTATTTTTAAGAAGAGCTATTTGAGCAATTAACTTTTTGTTCTGCTAAAAATTCTGACAGAAAACTGCAGCATGTAGAGCTGACTTGAAACTTCAGTTTTCTTCTGCATAAATTAAAAAGTCAATGAATATTTCCCTTATAGGACAAATGAAATCCTTAATTTCAGACTCAAGCTTTCTAATTGTATTTTTTGAATGGAAATAAATTTGTAAACAAAAAGATATTCTCTATAAAAAAACTGAATCATTTTTGTTTTGAAAACATCCCCACAAAAACATGAATGTTTTTTCCACTTCTGTGTTGTTCTTTAATTACATGAATGGCATTACTGGCACTAAATGTGTCAGTATTTCTGAGTCTACACCTTTACCGAGAAAAGAAAGTTTTGGATTCAAAATGTCAGGCCAGCATGAATGGGTCTGCCCGGTAAGCTGAGAGATGCAGGTTGAGATAAATAAGCCACAGGCTTGGGGTCTGCTGTCATTGCAGCCTGGGGGAAGCAAAGCAGGTGGTGGTGTCACCTCCATCCTTCCCCAGCACCCTCCTTGCAGCCCTTCCATAGCTGCTGCAGGGCACCCACATTGCTTTCTCCCTGCCTCAAGGACATGCCAAGCTCAGCTTCTCTTCTAGGACTTCTCTATTGTCTGTGCTTTGGGAAGCAGGACTACCAAGGAATGGTGAATACGAAGATGCAGAGGGTATATGTTACTGCTCTGGGCAGCTGGGACTTCTCCCTGTTGCACTGGCCATGGGTGATGGGCCACGAAGCACCTTCAGCTGACTCAGTTCATGCAATATCAATGGCAATGCCAGTTTAGCAGAACTCGGCTAGTGGGTTCTAGCACTTATCACTGCCAACAAGACCTCAAATATCCCCCACGCCTCATAAAATGACCAGAAACTCCCAACTGATCTCTCAGATACCAAGGGAGAGAGAAGAACTGGCTACAAATATCTGGAAATGAAAAAAGAAAAACAGAGAAAGGAGTACTCATGTATGATCCCAGCCGAGCACACGAACTTGTGTTGAACACTAAAATCGATGTACCTGATCCTTGTTTACACACAGGCACTTTATACCATGCTGCCTAGGTTGCAGAGCCTAGAAGTCAACTTTCCTCTGTGGTCAAAGTAGCGTAGCAGTGCACCTTAGCTTATCTTGCAAAGAAAACCACTGACAATATTCATATACCTCAAATTAAGCATATGCTTAGACTGTTCTTATAACGAAACCACAGTAGCTCGGATACTTGAGTTGTTCCATATAAACTGAAGAAGGTTTCAAAAGGGTTTAGCAAAGTGCTGAAAAATATGAGGCACACTCCAGAAGGTCTAGGCATTGCCGAAATGACCTTGAAGTTTTGGGGGCTTTCTTCCCCCTGTCTTAGCTTTCTTTTCTATTGTTTCTTTTCCATGTAAAATAAGGAATTAGAGAACTTACAGCTTCTGCCAACATCTGCTGCTGTAGAAGGAGTTGTTTTTGCTCCATCATTTGCCGTTGCAGAGCGTGTTTCTTTTCCATCAGTTGCTGATTCAACATTGATTGCTGGGATGAGTTCATGTAACCACTTCCAGTGTTTGGATTTGAGCAAGAACTGGAGCTTGGAGTGGAGCCAGCTCCCTGGCCTACCACAGAGTGTTGATCCTGAAACAGAAGAAATGGCTCGTGAAGGATGAAAATAATAACAAGCATCAATAAAGGAAATAATCCTTTTTATGCAATTAGCTCAAGTACAGGACACAGCCCACAGACTCTCAGGACAACTGACCAATACAAAGGCTTTGACAAAATAAGAAAGGGATTGAGTAACTTCATCGCTCATGGAAGACTCTGAAAATGTGCCACGTGGTTCCAGTGGAAAACCTCAATGTTGTACCAGGAGCTTGGGAAACATTAACAGAAGTAACAGAGCCATCCTGGGGATCTTTCAGGAAACTTGCATCGGGCCGTATGGCAGTTTGTTTGACCACAAGGGAACAAACTCAGTGTCTGCTGGTTCCTACCATCTGGTGAGCAGCAGCGAGAAGTTACAGACTCATTGCTAGAAGTGGCATCTATTCTTAGAAAATACAGAAGCGGTAAGTTGTTACTTCGCAGTGGGGTGAGTGATGCCGCTTTCATTTGTCCCGTCACCTCCCTGACAAAAGTAATCTCTGAGAGATTGCTAATTGACTCCCATTAGCAGCAGGATTAAATAGGCTTAGAGTTTATCAACTTCTTTGGTAAAACAAATGTGTAACTGGACAGGACTTTGAAGAGTGCTTTAGGGTCTCCCTGGTCTTTGCGATGGATCTCGATCTGCTTCCTCTTCCCTGTGTGCAGCTTCATGAGGAAGGGATGGCAAAAAGTCATCTCAGAAGGCAATGGGGAAGGTACCTGGGGACTCAAGCCATGCACATACAGGATGAGAACGAACATGGGATGACAATATGCTGCTTGTTTTCTTTTAGCCATAGTTTTCCTTGGCAGCAATATGTTTTCTGTCTACTTGCTCCACCAGTGTTTGGTACTTGGGCCTTTACCAAATGTAGGAAATAGCCTTCTCAGTCCACACACAAAAATACTCAGCCTATGTTGGATCACTTCATAGTCAGGTATTACTTAGCTGCCCAGCTACAAAGAAAATAGGATACACTGAAGAGGTCACAACAGTCATGAGAAGCATCAGTTCCCTGACTCCACTTTGTTGCAATTCACCACAGGAACCTAACCACATAATTCTGTATAACCTAATATGCAGCAGCATTTTTGCCCTGCAACACAGGAATCCACAGCTGGAGTCTGATGCTCCCTGTTATGCAGTGGTTGTCTCAATACCGATGTGTGGTGCCAGGGTCTGGTCTACTACCTAGGCAAAGCTCTGCTCCATGGCCATTGCCTCCCATGGCATCCAGGGAAATACAGACTGACCAACACTGAAACAAGGACTGGCCACGTGTAGCCTACCCACGCCCTGAAGACCACAGAGCACTGATGCTCATCGCTTTGCAAACTCCAGGAAAGCTAATTTCTGTGCCTTAGCTTTTACACCCCCCCCCCCCCCCCCCCCCCCACACACACACACAGTAACACACATACACGACAGACTAATCCAACTTATCTTTCTACCATCTGGCATGGAAGAAACAATGATTGTTATGGGTATTTCTATTTTAAAATAATTCTGTGGCTTTTAGATGGGGCCACATGAGTGCGTAGCTAGCTAGCTAAAGTATTTGACATCTCTTACTGAAATAAAAACCATTACTTTCTTCTGGAGCCACCTGCAGCCCCCAAGGCAGTGTTACAAACCCACCCTTCAAAATTTATTGGTCTCTTTCTTACACAATTATATCCCGCACACTTTCTTTCAGTTCCAGAAGGAATCCAGGATTGCTCGGCACTGCCACATTTTTCAGCCTTTATGTTAGCTGCAAGATAGAAAATACCTCCTCTCAACAGACCTGCTTGCCAAGTTGTTGCGCAAACTTTTTTGTCTTTCTTAAAATATTTTGAAAAGAAAAATATGTTACAATAAATTGGCTTTGACTTCTATATTCAAATGACAACTCTAGCTTGAACCCAGCCACACGTTACATCCATTAATAGAATTCATCTGTTGCGTTTTTGCACAGATAATGCAGGCTCCCCCAAATGTGCTTTCATAGTCCTGCGTTAAAAAAAAACCCAACAAAGCCCAACCTTTTCTCTCCCTCATTCCCTGCCAGCCCATATAAGCTGTGGAGAGGGATTTTGTTTTAAGATAAATGGCGTAGTGTCCATTCATGATACCTATCAAAGCAAGCTCTTCTGTAATAGTAATTGGCACAAAACACCAGCTGCTTGGCAAACGGGCCCTGAGGAAACAGTATAAATCATCAACTTTGAGCCAGTTTGGGTTTTTTTGCATTTGGTCCTTTCTCTGCTGTTCATGAAATGTCAGTGTGAGCCTATGAATCCACGATGCATTACTTCTCCTGCCTGCTGATCGTCCATCAGCAGCGATGCGATGGGAGAAGGAAGAACAGTTTCCTAATAAATCAGGGGATTAGCTGTGCAGCAGTTTGACCCATCGTGAACTGGTGCTATCAAGCATTACTCTCACCTCACACTTGCATCACTGCAAATCAGAAGGCAGAAGGGCTATACCGCTGCCAAGGACATGGGGCTCTGCCCCTGCGCTTAGACAAAGCATGCTTTCTGACGTCCCTGCCGAGGAAGAGAAGATTTGGGTTGGAGCTACCCTGCTTTCATTGAACCCTTTCATTCTGCTCTAAGCTTGGCTTTACTACAGCAGCTTTACTATGACTCCACACATCTAAAGCTGCCAGTGGCCTTTTGAACTTCATTCCTGGGTTGCCATGCCTATGGTTTATGCACTTTAACTTTAGAAACCCCTGACCACAGAAAGCCCAGAGTGGGACATGCGTGTCCCCTTGCCCAGGGGCGCCTCTGCCCAGTGGGCTGCAGAGGCAGCCCAGCATCTTGCCTGCATGGTGACACCATGTTGTTTTCCTGCACGGGGAAGGTAACCCTCTCCCTACTTTGCCTCCAAAGAGGTGATGCGACGGGGAGCACATCCCTGCAGCCAGCCGGGTGTTAGGGACAGGCTGGAAGCATCACACCTCTGACAGGTACAAGTGTCATTCTGGGTTCGCCCCCAATTCCTGCTCCACTTGCTGGCACCGCTCATGCATGCTGCATCCCTCCAGCCCTGCAGACGAGCTGCAGCCCTTGCAGGGCCATGCCTGGTGCCAGCTGGGGCAGGGGCAGCAGCCAAGGGCTGAGCTAGTGTTTGCCAAGCAGCACAAGCCCCCATCTGCTCTGCTGGTGCCGAAACTCCAGCACAGTGGTGCTCTAGGTGCAAAGCAGGTATGTTACACCCCGTTCTCTCATGTTACAGTGAGATATAAAACCCACGAGAAGCAGGAAGAGTGGAGGAGGCAGTGAAAGCTCCTCAGAGGTGGTAGCACAACTGGGGTTTTGTTCATAAGCATCACAAAGAACATTATGCTCAAATGTTTAAATTAGTAGTAAATCAAAACATTTAAGACTGAGTTTGCCTTTCACTATCCCTGCTGCAGCTGACTTGTGTTCATACAAATGAAGGGAAGTTTTGGCTTCTAGCACACACATGGACTTTCCAAAATAGGTTTTTCTCCTCTCCTCTCCTCTCCTCTCCTCTCCTCTCCTCTCCTCTCCACCCCCCCCCCCTCCCCCTCCCCCTCCCCCCTGCCGC